GGCAATTTTCCGCCGCCCATGTCTCAATCCACGAACTCGCAGGCGTTTGTTTTGGGCGCAAACGTTAACTTAAACGCAGCACCGACTGCGAACACCTTTTTCGGCGCCCAGGGCGGCTCAGCATTTACTCCTTCCAATCAGTCAGCAAACTCGATCTCTACTCCGACTATTTCCCCGTCGCAAACGCAGTTCGATCCCGCCGATGCGTCCCAACTCTACGAAGGCGACAACGACGACGACGCCAAAGGACGACACGACAGTTTGTACCCTAAGGATGAAGAGACATCCCCAACAACAACAACAGAAACACCGTCCAAGAAGAGGCGTCGATCCGAGTACGCCGAACCAGGCTCAGCGCGGGCTATATATCTTGAAAAGAACCGCAAAGCCGCCAGCAAGTGTCGAAGCAAACAGAAAATGGAGCAGGAAGCGCTAGTTGAGAGAGCGCGAGAATCAGAGCGCAGTAACCGCATACTGAAGGCGGAAGTACACATGCTACAGACTGAACTGCGAGAGCTGAAGGAGTACGCCGGTCGACATGCCAACTGTCGGGACCCGCGGATAGCCATCTATTTGCAGAGGTTGGCTGATCGTTTGGCTTCGCAAATGGGCCATCCACAACCACAGCTGTGAACACAGAGTCGCGCAAAAGTTTTCCGTTCAGCGACAGAACCTTTTTCTCGCTCCTCGTGAAGTTCGTCTTCTATCGGCGCGAAGGCGGACACACCTCGGAGCTCCACCATGCTGCTCCAAAAATCCATCACCACGAATCGCATTCCAGTTCTCGGAACTTTTCTGGATCCTGTATTGTAATTGCGTGGGTAGTAATTTCGCTTTCCAGTGGGCTATCAGTAATCACAAAGTTCGGTGGTCGGCCTTCACCACCGTCCTGAGTAGAAGGGCTGGGACGTGTCGGGAAAAAAAAAGGAACTGGAGTCATGGAGTTCTACGGACCCCATTCCAGAGTTGAGTCGGGGTACAATTACAGTCATAGCGGAAACATACCCTTTCTCTGGAGTGCGATGAGGAAACAAATACCAATATGAAGGGGTGGAAGCAATCATCGAGTGCATTGCATTAAGCATGTAGATGAAATTACGGATGCTCCTCTCATTCCTCTGAGGTGACTTGTTCCTACGGACTGATGCTATCTAATCAGATGTGACTTCCTAGTGAAGTCGGAAGTTCTTGCTCTCAAAATGAAATGACGTCATTGCCATGAATATGACACTTGCTACCGATGCATCTCGCTCAAGCTTCCTTTTCAGAAAATCTCGGTATTCCGCGTCCCTGGCTATAGGGGACGTACTGGCGCACAGCTTGTCGCTTACTTCTTGCGGGAACGTCATCAGTTCCTATGCTCTAGTCGCTAAATTCAGATGAAGTCCTCCTCTTGTTGTCATAATCGACAGATCCACCCCTGCTGTCTCAACGCCCAGAAGCATGCCTGCTACTTGAACGTCTCGATCCAGTCCTGCCATGGCTCCTTGAATCCCTCCTGCCACCAGTCCTTACACCATTCTTAGCCTCACTATGACCCATCATTTGCTCTTCGTCCGCGCCCGTTGACATATCGCGAGAATGTTGAAGCTCCATAGGCGAACCGCTTCGCAGTCTCTTCTGGTGTGCGTCCGTGACCTGACTTGGGTGGGTCCAGTTGAAAGAAACCATGACAAAGAACATTAGCAGTGCATCGAAGATGTACAGGTACACTTCGTGACTGAGGAGATATCCTGCATTTCCTCCGAGGTATTCCACGACACGGAAGATGCTTCGAACCATGATGAGCGCGCTTGCGAAGTATAAGTTGAATAGGTGGCGCTTCCAGGGTAGTTCGTCAAGACTCGCTCGGGATACGGTGGTCCATGTTTGTACGATCTCGTGAGACTGTCGAGACTTGAAGCACGAGAAGGGGCTGTAGCGCCTCTTTAGGGGAAGGTCTCTGGAGACACGGTAGTGGAAGACCGCGGAGACGACGATGAAAAAGCCAAAAAAGAGCAGTTGGACGAATAGACCACCGATGATGATCTTTTCACCGGTATGCAGGGCGTCTAGCGTGCCCATTGCTTGGATGCCACCACCTATACTAATGTTTAGCCATAGTCCCGGAAGCTGCGTTAGAGTGGTAACGTACCTGCGGCTTGCAACATAAAGCTGAACACATCTCCTGCTACGAACGTCTTCGTAAGCCACTTGTGGCTAATTAGCGAGTAGCGCTCTCCGTCGACTAGGAGGATTATGCGACCCAGTATGATGTAGATGGAGGCTGCGAATAGTGCCGGGGCAAGTAAGATGAGCAGCGACTGCATAATGAAGGGACCGAGTGCCCAGACATCGTCGTGTGAGAGGTAGCGTCCGATGTAACCTATAACCTCGACTGCATCATGTCAGCAACACCATGGGGAAGAAGGATGGCTATGCAATCTTACATAGACCTCCAATCACTAGTGGTGCGAAGTACCACGTCTTTCTCCTGATGAATTGGTAGATGTGCAAAAAGGTGGTAAGACCGAATGCGACGACGAAGATGATTGCCGCTATCCGGTTAGGAATGTATCGGTATAGAACGTAGGCGGTTGGGTCGTCAAGCGCTGGGCGGTATGGTTCGGTGTCGGACATGTTGAGTTGGGTCGAAGACGAACGCAGATAATGCGTCCTCAAATGCAGGTGTGGTCATTCTCGAAGTGGGCTTCTCGAACGTTTTAACAACAGTTGCGTATCGCTCCTCGGCCAAGCCGTCAAGCTAAGGATGCGTTCGCGTTCTGGCTGTACGGAATACGTGATGCGAAATACGCTGCCAAGAGCGCTTGCCGAGCCGAGACGTTTTTTTGCGGGCCCCGTATCGGCCGTATGGCTTCTGCCGCACTAGTGGGACGATTTGGGGGTTAAATCGTGCGGCACCCCGTCCAATACGGCGTATCAACAACTGCAGTGCCTCGTTGAGATTGTGCGAATTGCACAGCCTCTCGCGAGCTTCGCAAGCTTCGCCATTTACTTGGTCCCAGATTAGTGATCATTGCGAAAAGACTTCGCCAAAACAACCCACGACTTTAGGATGCGCCAAGAGATGGTTTGCCAAAGCATAAGGACACCCGGTCAGGTTCACTCCCCGCGACAGGATATAACGAGTTATTGGCTGCGACACCAGAATGGATACAAATCGGTGTAACTCAGATCCTCACGAGGCTGTCGGAGTGGTCGTTGCGCTCCCGGCTTGAGCATGAATGATCTGTTGCGGCCAGTCGAGCCATTTTAGAAGATCTGGTGTCGCTGCTAGCAAATGTTCGCAGGCAGCAAGAAGCCATTGGGGCCACTTTACCACCCACCATACCGGGCGACATTGGGCCAGCATTGCTGCAAAATGGGTTGTGATGATGCATGTCACAGGGTTGTGAGCTGCGAGGAGATCGAAGAAATGGGTCTCCAACCTCGCAGGCCAAAGAAAGAGAAGGGAGTACTCGTCGCGATCGGGTGATATGTGCCGAAACCGGAGCCAGGTAGCGTTGAGTGCGTCGATAGCTGTAGCGCAGGCCTCCTTGTCTTGGCTATCCAGTAGGAGTTCCGTGAGTTCCTTCAGTCGAAGAATCTCTTGAGGATTCTCCTCCCTTGCGAGCGTGTCCAACGCATCTAGCGCTTCCGGAGACGCCATATCTGTCATATGAGCAAACACCGAGCTGTCTTTGATTCGGTCCCAGTGAGGTATCACCACAACCTTGATGCCTTGCAATAACATGAAGCAGTGGTGGAGAGCGCGAATGGGATCCTCGGGGCGTTCAAGCTGCGCCGAACCGAAGTTGTAAGTCAAGATTATCGAAGACAGCATGAACATCGGAATTGCCAGCTCAACGTTCGGCGTCTCCAAATTCTTTCGATAAGTGTCCAAGGCTCGACTGATGTGGGAATCTGCCTGGAGCAAAAGGCTCTGCCGCTCGTTGGGCGGAAGCAAGGATGCTTGATGGACTGCCGAAAGGGCGAGAAAACCACGAAGAAGGAAAGGGTAGTCGAAGCCTAGTTCGATGAACTCATTCTGCGGAGCGGCACGGTCAGTTCAGCGATTCCACATAGTCTGTCAGAGTCGACAAGCCTTACCTGCCAGACGACACTTCTAGTTGCAGGATTTGGATGCAAGGACTTGGCGCACGCCTTTGTCCAATGATGCAGCAAACGGAGGTCTGCGAGCGGAAGCTCGGAACTCGCGGGACTTGCTTCGGGGCTTTCAGCATGGTGTGTATCCACAAACGGTGAAGAAACGCCTGGACTGTGTTGTGGGGAGCCCGAGTAGCTATCCGGTATTGTTGGGAAATGGCAATGGATGTCCAGGCGAACACAGTTCCCACAGCGCGGGCGCGCTTCATTGCACTGTACGACATGGTAAGCGACGACACGGATCACTGCAGAGGAGCCATAGCTTCGGATGTGTATGGCACTCGAGCACTATTCGCCGGGTAGGTACAGAAAATCGCACAGCACACGGTGATTGGCTGGAGAAGACGGAAGCTGGATCGAAGGTGAACACCTACTTTAGTATGTCTCTGCTTGCATTGGAAGCATCCTTTTCGCGACTTGGTGTGAGTTTTGCGCTTTGCGACGCGCTGTTCCGGCATAGTGGCGACAGCGAGATGGGTATATGAGTGCGATTGAGATGTACGATGCAGGTGATTTGGGCTGGGCGGCGGAAGATCATCGGTTATGTCAGCCGCTAGCGAGCGACTGGCGTGGGCATTTCCCCGCGGATGTCCGTTGGCCCCTTGCTTTCATTCCAGCTTGCTGAGGCACAGCACCAAACACCTGCTTTGTGACTTGCACCGCCGAATCAAGACGCGAGAGAATTCAAAATGAGAAGAAAATGACGTTGTCAAATATCGGTTGTAGACTCCACTACGCCGGACTCCGAGAGACAAACCCCATCCCTGTTCGTGGAAGTCTGAACGCCTTCAAATCCAGATTAAAACATTTCGCGCCGGCTCAGCTACAAGACACAAGCATCGTGTCCACCCACATCAGTTCCAGTTCCTGAACTCCGCCTGCGCGTCGGCGTTGCGCCATCCGATGTTCTCCCTGCTTGCTTCCTCCAGGGCAGTTGGCTTCCTCGTCGCTTGAGCGCCTGCGGGCGACGACTTCCTTGGCTGGTTAAGACGCTTATCCAGGGCCGCTTGCTGGTTTGCGCGCATCTTTGGGCTTGTCAGCGTTGCAAGTATGGTCGAACACCAAGACCATACCTCAGCTTGGAGCTTTGCGCGCTCTTCTTCGCTAAGCTGCGGCTCTGGAGGTCGCTGCGATGCTGACGGCTGAGACTGTTCTTGACCCATGATCTCGTTGAACGACACGTGATTTAAGGATGGTATGGACTTCTTTGAAGTCGATGTAGACTCTAAACGAGACTGTGGGGCCTGTTGTTGTTATATGCTGACTGCATACCAAGCTTAGGCCACCGACTGTACGGCACGGTCGTCCCTTCAGGCAACAACGCCAACGGCACTGCCACACCACGATCCTCAATACCACAGCCTTGTGTTCGACGTACAATTTGCCTGAAACACATTTGTTTAGGCTGTGCAACTAGTGGGGAAGTTGTCGTTGTAGGTATTACAACGCAAAGTCATGTGCGGATGCAGCTTTTCTCAGCCATGGTACAGGTTTGAGTCAAACGTGCTCTATATTTGAATTTTTCACCACTTCTGTTCCGATGCTAAACTACATCATAATATACAGTTGCGATCACACCGATACCAACACTAATTCTGGAATACCTTTATCATGTCAAACACCAACAACCCCTACCGCTGCATTGGCAAGGGTTTTTGCGGCAGCGTCTGGGCTGCCGAAGGTGGCACGAATCACGCCATTAAACGCGAAGATGGAGGACCCGGACGATCCGTCACCAACGACTACAACATGCATTTGCAAATCATTCGGAGCGCAAACCAGCATCGTCCTTCAATGCCTCTGGCCATACCACAGTGTCAGTCGTTGATATACTCGAACAATATGTGGTGGGTTGAAAATCTCCACCGCTTCCCTACCGGCTTCACAGAGTGCAGAGCGCTCATATCAGAACGCATCCCCAAGATACCTCGATCTATCAGCGACAAGATCGTAGACCTATTCTGCGCGGGTAATACGTCACTATCGGCCTTTGTGAAAGGGAACGAAGACGACGACTGCTGTCTTATCCGTCCCTACCTAGGGCGACGACGGGAACGCGAAGCAAACACTTCGCGGTTCCAGCGCTTCAGCCTCCGAAACGTTCCATTACATATCAACCAGATGGAAGACATTGGCCTCGATTACGTCGCCTATGCGCAAACTATGGCAGACGCACTTGCCATGATGCATTGGGGCGCCAAAGTCGATGCCAATGACGTCGAGTTCGTACTCGCGCCTCCCCGAGCCTCGTCACGATCATTATTCCCGTCACACTATCTCGGCGAACACGTCATGTGGATCCTCGACTTTGACTGTGTAAAACACATGTCCATGGACGAAGCAGGGCTGAAGCAGGCGTGCGCAGCGTTTATGAGGAATGACCCTTTCTACCCACGACCGGACAGCACTGGGACTCCTGACGGAGCGTTATGGTGGTTCTTTAGGCAGAGGTTTCTAGAGACTAGTGCGGAGATATTGGGAGATGGGTGCCCGCATGCGGGTTTGCCACGGAGACTGATGGAGATGATTGAGGAAGAGGGCTGCAAGCGACGGCAGAAGAAAGAGGAGCTACGCGAGCGGGATGAAGATACTGAGCAGGACTAAAACGAATTGGGATGTGTTTGCCAGGAGCATCTATCCAGCAATGTTCGTCTTCCTCGAAGACTTAAGATATTTCACGCGAAGCTGTTAGATAGTTTCGATGCAGCATCGGGTGCTGTCTCCGAGTCAACTGCTCTAAAATCTCAACAATGTGTCGGCATGCGTACGTCGTTCTCCTCAATGCACAAGCGGATCTTTAACCTAATTTTTTTCCTAATCGGCATATCATAGCATTGATATTCTGCGTGAAGCATGCAACAGCCGTACATATAATTTTAACACAAGTTGCTCGTCAAGAGCACTGTCTGTTAACCGGAAAAGTCGCAGGTTAATGCTCTGGTGGCCTTCTACCAAAAGATGTAGTTCGCACAGCAATCCCCCAAGGTAAAAACAAATGCAAAAAGCAAAGTACAGTCTTATGAGCAAAAGGGGGTGTGCGGATATACCCCGCCATCGCTCCGGGCGCTCATGGCTGAGATTCTACATCCATGACGGTCAAAAAGATGATTCAACCTCATTTTCGAACGCAAAAAAATGGCAAAAAGAGCTAAACAAGCAGTTTGACACGAGTGGGGTTCGAACCCACGCACATTTCTGTAGTAGAGATCCAAGCAGAGCTTAAATCTACCGCCTTAGACCACTCGGCCATCGTGTCTGATGGAGAAACTGGACAAATTTTGGAGATACAATGTATATATTGCAAGAGGATTGAGCGAGAAGCTGTGCCGCAGGCATGAAGAGAAGGACTTGGTGATGCTTGGTATCTTTGTCGTGGTGCGGGGTAGTAGAGGGGCAGGTCAACTTTGGTACAGCATCGACTTTGCAGTGTTGAAGCGGTAGGGATGCGAATGCAGTAACAATATAAGAACACTGGATCAAATAAGACTAGCCAGGTATTTCATCTTCAGCAACTTCTCGAAAATACGAACAGATACATCAGGCCAAACGAGTGCATTAGTTAGAACCGTGCCCTAGTCATCCCTATCATGTACAAATCCATAAACAGCACTAGACTATATACACCCAACCATTAGATCCCATTCAACCCATAAAAGCCCAACAACTCAATCCCCTCCTACTCCATCTCGCATCTACGCAACCCATCGCTTACCAAGAGTCTGCGCCGCCTGAGCATCATCAGGGTTATTCTGAGCCAGCGCGGAGAGAATAGACGCAACATCATCCTGACGCTTCTCGATATCGCGACGGGCAGCAGCAGCAGCCTCCGGGTCGACCTCGGCGAGCGCGTCAAGGCAGTGTGCTGCATCGTCCTGGCGCTTCTCGACGTCGCGGGTCTCGATGTCGCGACGAGCAGCCGCAGCGGCCTGGGGGTCGACTGCTGCGAGATCATCGAGGCAGTGGGACACGTCCTGGCGCTTGGTAACAGACTTGGGGGTAGAGCTCATAGCGGGAGCGGCGGCGGCGGCGTCATCGGGGTTGTTCTGCGCGAGGGCAGCAAGGATGGATGCAACGTCGTCTTGACGCTTCTCCATATCGCGGACGTCGATGCTGCGGCTCTTAATGTCGCGGCGGGCAGCGGCAGCAGCTGCGGGGTCGACCTGCGCGAGGTTGTCGAGGCAGTGGGATACATCGTCCTGACGCTTGGTGGTGGATGTAGACGACATGGCCTGCTTGGCTGCGGCGGCATCGTCGGGGTTGTTGGCCTCGAGCGCGGCGAGAATGGAGCTCACGTCGTCCTGACGGCGGAGCTTGACCTTCATGGCTGAGGCGGCGGCGTCGGCATCTTCGGGGTTGTTCGTGCGGAGAGCCTCGAGGATGGAGGCAACGTCATCTTGGGGACTGGCTGAGAGGTGTTAGATGGACGTCCGAAGAAGCATACTTCTTCATGCTTATCAAAACCTACCGGTAGCGAAGACGGCGCTGGAGAAAGCAGCAACGGCGACAAAGGCAGTGTAACGCATGTTTGCTGATTGGAGTTTCGGAAGTGTTGGTAGTGAGAGTAGATTGAAACTGAATAGAAGTGACCGGCACAGATATTACAAGATGATAGTACTGATGAGATGTTATTTGCTCAAATCAACTCAAGAAGACATCGAGCTCTAAATACCACAGTCCGGAGAGGTGATACCCGCACAGCCAAACATCTAAGCTTCGCCGCGTCAGATGTGGAAGCTTATCACGAAACCCACCTTACCTAGTTTCACGGTCTTGGTACGAGCCGAGTAAGAAGATGCACCATTGCAGTGTTCGAATGCATTGCATGTTCCGCAGTCGGCAAGGAAGAGTGTGGTTGTTTGGTTTCCGATGTTCGGTGCTTGGAGGAGGGTTGGAGCGTTCACGTATCGTGTTTCGGAAACAGCCTCACCATCTACCCAGACGCAGATCTGAAACAACGCAGCCTCGGTATCTCTATACGACTTGCGCAGCAGCTCTTGCTCCTTCTGTGACCGTAGCAGGTATCACGTCGATCTGGGACCAAACGCGGAGGCTCTGGAGACGTGCGCCGCGCGGACTTTGCCATGCGACGCTGCGTGCTGATCTGCTCCCGGTTAGCCACAGCATCGTCTTGCCTAGATGATCGTTATAGACGCGGCCCTTAAAAGTCTCATAGTCTCCATCATTCCTTCACATACGTGATAGTGTATTACGCGCGTGTTTCGATCGGAGGAGGGTCGTGGTGATTTGCGGACTTCGCGGATGCTTGGATCGCTTTCAATTCGCAGAGGTACAAGCAGTATTGACTGCGTACTGCTCTCTATCAATTGACAGTCAGCTTGGTACTTCGAAGTAATGTTGCTAAGCCCGTACCTGGTGTCCGTGGTTTCCATTGTGCCGCGGGTTGTCGAACAACAACAATGGGAATACGGTTACCATCTCACTCGCACGATATGCACTCCTAGATATCCAGGGACAGACGCAACAGGCCTTGAGTGAGTTCCAGAGTCAGCGCTTCTCTGCCTGTTCGCTCTCCAGCTTGCGCTCACGGTAGCGGGTCGTACCGAGGCAGCCTCGAAATCGCGGGGTTCTGGGGTAAACCATTCCAATGTCGCACTGGCAACCTGCGGCAGGTCAGATGAACTATTCAGTAGTCAACGAGCGTCAAGTCGAACATCGATATCAGGGTGGGGTGGGAGCCTTGAACACCCACAAGCCTGAGAGCGAGCTCGAGCGAAAGCTTGGCATGACCAAGTCTCAATATCGGACAGCTCGAACAGCAGTAGCTCATCACGGAACGTGGCACGGGTATTGACAAGCGTCGGCATTGGTTTGGAGGGTCCATTCGAGTCCATTGAGTTCAACGTCAGTCATCCGCACATGTCATTACCATAGCTACAGCTTCCGCACATATACCTGGGTAAGGAAAGCGAGCCGTGGTGGTAGCTTGCTCTTCAGATTGCTCGTCTAAAGTACATGTTTTACACAATCTGACCGGCCACTAGAGTAGGAAAAGAGGTAGTAGTCGTCCCTATGCACACACCCATCCGCAAGAAAAGTTTTCCACCTTGCGGCACCCCCATACCGTTGACCCCAAATGTCCGGCAGTCCATGCAATGCACACATCTATGCGACGTAGAGGAGCAAGAAGGACATCATGAGCGCGAAAAGACCAGTGGCCTCAGCGAAGGCGAAACCGAGAACGGCGTACTGGAAGAGCTGACCCCTGAGGGAAGGGTTGCGGGCAACACCCTGGATGAGACCACCGAAAACCGTTCCGATACCGACACCGGCACCGGCAAGACCGATGGTAGCGAGACCGGCACCCTGGATCTTGGCGGCAGCGACCATGGCGGCAGCGGTGGACTCGGCGACGATGCCACGCTTCTGGATGACGTTGCGGGCGGCGTTGTTGCGGAAGGCGCTGCGGGCAGCGACGAGGGTGTTCTGCTGGGGAGCGCGGGCTGCAAGATGATGGTCAATGGCTGCTTGATGAGCTTGCAGAGCTCAAACCCAATGGCTTAAGCTGCTGCGGCAGGCGCGAGACATACCAGCGTTGGAGAAGCCACGGGCGGCCACGCGGGCGGCGCCGAAGGAGCGAGCGATGGCAACCATGGTGATGGTATTGACGGTCGGAGTGGAGATGAGTTGGAGATGAATTGGTCCTTCAATGGATGGGGAGTGGTGGGAGGAGGATGGAGGAGGTGGATGCAAAAACTCGCTGAAGGGTTGATTAGCCGCCAAGAGTCCGTGCGGGAGCTCACATCGGGTTAGCGCTCCCCGTTTACTCCCGACAACCTCTACCTCGTCGACCGTCGTGAAGCCTTTGAGGGTCGTAATGACTTCTTCTAGCAGCTCATAGTCCTTCTGAGTTAGTTGAAGATGTCGGAGAATTCTTGAGAGCCCGCCATCTTTACAGGATTTGCAATCGCTTTGCAACCGCTCCACAAACATTCCCCTCAACCGACACAACCGATCCTAAAGGTACCACGACATCGTTACACTTATGCACATCAGAACGCAGTATTGCATGCGAATCTAAGCACGAAGCCTAGTCAGACCATGCAATGATCATAGTAGAGACAGGTCTCTATTGTGAATTGGCCCTGACACGTTGTTTATATTGGTTCTGAATCTCATCTGTGGGGTACAGATAAGATGCGTATACACTGTAAGGATTGTGGAACACCTTCTAGCGACAGTTCCAGTCAATTCGAAGAGTCTGGAGAAGCTAGTATAGCAAAGTCAAGGTCAAAGATTCAAGTATGGTGTTCGTGAGGCTCCACACAGACTCACCACATAAGTGATGGGTAGGAACCAGGTAATTCATTTTTCATGACACATTTATAACGCAGCTATGATTTGTACACGCGTATTGATATATTTTATCTTGTACATATTCACACAATAGAACGTCATGCTATGTGGACTGCAAGCAACACGATTCGTGGTATTCGGTGTTAGTCTTCCATTCGAATTTATTCGAGCGCTCATCACGGATGTCACTGCACAGTCTCCCACAGCAAAGACACTCAAGAACGAACTGTAGTGCTCACATCGAATTCAACGACGAAAGCTATTCCCATATAAGACTTTTGGTAAACATGACCCTTCCCACCTCATCCCATCCATGCCAACCATCTACCCATCCCATCCATATCGGCCGTAACAGCCCACCGCATCTCCTCGCATCAGCACTTGGTATCGGACTCAAAAAAGAAAGATTACAATACAGTCACAGCCCCGAAGGAACCATGATAAGAAGTGGTATCGGACATTAGATGGTCGTAAAGACCGAGCGCAGAGCAGACGTCGACGCCCAACTCTCGTCGCAAGGGAGATCACAGCAGGTGCGACTCGATCACCCCCCGCATGCGTGAAACAGTCATTAGTTGATAAAAGGAAACGCCTTGTCAGGAATCAGTTGTGCTTATTCGACCATTGCGCTAATGGGCGTGCCAGCGCGGCTCTCATCCACGAATTCGCTCATCTTCATCTTCTTGTGTCGCGGGCTCTCGGCCTCGATCTCGTCCAGCCGCCTCTTCAGGTCCGCTTCTCGCTGCTTGGTCTCCTCGAGCTCTTGCCTCAGGGTTGATTCCGTCTGTCGTGCTGACTGCTCGCTCTGTTCGAGTTCGCTAACACGGTTGCGGAAGAGGTCATTGATGAGCTCCATCTCCGAGACGCGTGTCTTGAGCGCAGTGTTTTGAGCGGCAAGAGTCTCGTACGGGAGAGGGGCTTCGAGGTGGGAGCCGTTGATCGAAGAGTTAGCGGGGGACGGAGCACGGAGGCCAAAGCCTGGTAGCGAGGGTGAGTGGAAGTCACCGCCATGCAGGGCCTGCTCGAACAAGTGTGATGGTGCGATGTTGGAGGGGTGGTTGAAGTTCGGGGTACCGGTGCGGGAAATGGGCGATTGCGAGCGGTCGGACAGTCCAGAAGATATCTTGCCAGATGCGCGGCGGTGCTGGGCTAGGGCTAGCTGGCCATCAGCATCGGGATGCGCGGCAGGAAGACCACCTTGGTCGCTAGTCTGTCATGTGTTAGTCAAGAAAGAGTTGTAGATTGACTTGCATACCCGCTTGCGTCCACCTGGTCCACTGGTCTTGACGCGGTTCCGGCTCTTGATGACATCTGTCTTCAGACTGATAGGCCGCGGGCGTCCGTGTAGCTTCAAGAAGAGACCACAGGCATTGCAGAGAACAGCGCCAGATTCGTCGCGGCGCCAAAGAGGGGTGGTGGAGGTTGCGCAGTTTTGGCAGGACGGCTGCAGAATGTCAGCAAGAGCACTTCAGTATTGCCAAAATCGATCAGGGTCGTCTCTGGACGATATCGCAAAGAATGCGATGCGTCGAGGTCGCCTCGAGCGCGAGGCCAGAAGAAGTAGATAATGGCTACCTATCGATAAGAGGATAAGAGACAAATCGGAGTCTGGCTTGGGGCCATGACGCCAACATCGCAATCGTACGTACCGGAGAGCCAGCCTGACCACCAGCGGTTGCGGGCGCAGAGGTTGCATAAGTCATGCTGAGGCCATTAACGGGTTTACTGTTCTCCATGGTTAGCGAGGGCTGGAAAAGAAGTCGCGAAAACGCCAAGCTTTCAGTGATAAGCAGCAGGTGCGAGCGGAACGGCCGGCGGTTCGAGCCGCCGACGCAACTGCCAGTCTGGAGCCATTCACCACGCTCTCATATCCCACGATAAGTGAATACAACACCGCGCGAGTGTTTACAAATATTCTGCTGGAACATTTTGCAAAACCCATTACGCATCTGGTTGTACACACTGGTCCCACACTACCGCAACGAGAGCCTGGGTAATTCTGGGTACGTACCTGGGGGGTGAAGGCATTCTCTTCTCGGGCGTATCTCTCCTCATATTATCATTATTATCATTACTGTTCATATTCGCAGCGGGGCAATTCGACGCCGCCGACGCTAGCGTAGCTAGTGACGGCAGCTGGATCGAGGCATTGCTGCCATGCCTTTGTTGGGTGTAAGAAGCCACGGTCGAGCTTGAGGACGGTCGTGATCTATCGTGGCCGATCGACGGCAGCTTGTCGTCGAAGTTGGCGGTGGTAGACGTCTTGAAGGCGGGCAGGTCGAAAACCTGCAGGATCGAGGGTCTGCGGAACGAATCGTCGACCTGGGGCCGAGGGAGGATGGAGGTAGCCAGTGCGGAAGCCGTGATGGGTGTATTAGGTCGAGAAACGCGTGGCGCTCCTCGAATAGCTGGTAATGTATCGGGTGGGAATGCCTTGAATGTCGAATGCGCACGTTTTGATGATGTACACCAAACAGGACGCGAGCAAGCGGATGGAGCTTCAAAAGAGTGTGTGTATTAAGTAAGGGAGCGACTGTAAAGACTGAAGGACAGAAAAGCAACAGCTACAAAGCAGTGTTGAAAGAGTGTGTCTGTCTGTTGAGAGGAATGAGCACGAGATTGAGCTACCAGGTACGCGATCCGTTCTCTGCGCTTTGGTGATAGGGGTCCCTCCGTATCGATAATACCCACCTTATTTAAAATTAGGATCTAACCACCTGCATGACCTCAGAACGCTGCCCGCAAGTGTCCCTCCAGTCTCTTTTGAGCCGGGCCGTTTTGCTGCAGTCGTACAAGCTTCAGCATGGTAATCTGAACCATACGATGACCTCCTCAGCGATTCAGCCCTTAGTCACAAGCAAGCATAGCACAATTCGCACGCATTCAGCCTCCACAACGGCTCTCAATATTGCCACGCCCGGTCCTACAGGGCCCACGAACAAAGGGTCGTTGAAACGAAGCAACCGTCCCGTCAGGCGCGTGATGGTTCACGCTGACCGGCGCTTATGGTATTGCCCCTGAGGCTCAATTACGCTAGTCCCACAGCGGCCATGCACGTCTGTGCGCGTACCTTTCACTAGACCAATCACGTCTATCTTGTCTCCGGCTTGTGGCTGTCACGTAGATAGGGAGGGTTCAAATTGGATAGATACCCGTAGCGCGAACTATCGCACAGTCTGGAGAAAGGCATTTTTAGGGTCTCGCATCGGGCTTCACCAAGGGTATACCAGTACAGTTTTTGTTGAAAGATCACTTGACCTGAGAGATAGCGTTTGGGCAACAACGGTGACCCCATGGAATGTATCCCTGCCACCTGCACGGTGATTATGACTATCTACCAAAGGAGAACCAACCTTTCTTGGCTTGCGGCTTCTCCTCCTTCTTCTCCTCAACCGGCGCCTCTTCTGGCTCTGGCTCAGGCACCTGCGCTTGCGGCGTGCGCCCGGGATACTCGACGTAGTTCCATGCCACATCGAGGAATAGAGGCTTGACTGGTACCGGCTTGATTTTTGGAGGCCATGTGACCAGGTTCTTCAGATCAACCGAGCCCGACGATGGGTACTCGTTCAGTCGCTCAACAACGGGTGCCGCATTTGCCAGCCCAGCCTTGGACGCGGTATCAGAGTTTGCGAATAGTTGCGACAGCGCCACTACACCCCGGTAGTGCGAGTTCAGGTTTTCGAGGTTCTCCTTGAGCGTCTTTGTCTGCTCCCCGGAGACTTCCATCTTAGGTGCGTTGGATGTTGAGGATGCCTGGGATTGTGGAGCAGATGCTGCTTGGTTTGCCAGTGTCAACGCCCTGTTGCAGAGCGCTAAAGCTTGCTTTGGCGTTGACAGGAATGCGTACGAGTGTGACAGATTCAAGCACTTCAGCGCCTGGAAGTATGCACGCTGTCCGTCGAGTTCGGAGATGAATCCAGTATCGCGGGCAGCACCCCTGAGGTCCTTGACCGAGTCAATACTTTGCAGGATCGCATCGTACAAAGCGATGCGCTCCCGTAAGCGCGCCAGCTTGCGGCCAGTGGGCTCTTCCCGTTCGACCCATTCCTTACCGTCTTTGCGCGGTCGGCGCGGCTTTTGCGGAGGATTCGCGGGGAACGTGAGACCGTCGTCCTTGCCGATAAGCACTCTGTTGCGCCCGACTCGCCACGAAATGAGATCGTAGTTGACCGCCAGGTTCGTGACGCGGAGATCCTGCATGCGCGCATCGCCCTCATCGACACCTTCCTTCTCAAGCTCCTCAATCGCCCTTCGTGTTGCGTCGACCGCGTCTTGGCTCGCAATGAGGATGTCGTCGT